CCAGGCGAGCACGCTACCCCTTGAGCCACATCCCCAGCCCCTATATACTAGATTTATTCCAGGAAATTTATAGGTAAACCAAATTTAAATAAAACCAATCAGAATTTAGTTTTGCTAAAAGAACTTKGTGTATAAAGAAACCACATGAGAAGCTGGGTCTAGTGGCTCTATATCTAATCCCAGCACTGAGGAGACTGAAATGGGAGGATCACTCGAGCCTGAGAGCTTGGGGCCATCCTGGATAACATAGTGAGACCCCTGTATCAAAAACCAAACAAAACAATGGAAAGAAATAGTGAGAATAAACTTTTCTGAGTGAGTATATTCTCTTTCTGAATTTCAGTTAATAGCTTCAGTTTCCTTTGAACAGGGCACACATCAAATAAATTGTAAGGAAGGGTTTTCAGAAAATATTGATAGCATACCACATATTAACTTTTTCCTAATCTGGATGAAAAGTTGGTTAATTATCAATTTGATGAGCTTTTCAAAACAAGATCAAGAGATAGTCTGTGACCTTTGGGAACATGTCTGGACTTTACCACATAAATCGCTGTACACTGCTACTAATGTCTTATTTTATTATATTCAGTTAAGATGTAGCAAGTTTGGAGAAATACCTGGTGATGTGGGTAAAGGTTGAAAATTCAACTATTGATTAAATGGAATTGGCTTTTGGAGAAAAACTAATGTTGTCACCTGGCTTTAGATCACACAGACTTTATGTGTTGGGAACTAGTGATGCTTAGTATTTTGTTTGTTGCTGTTGGGGTTTTTTTTTTTTTTTTATGTGGCATCTGCTTTTGAGAAGTAGATCTTTAGTAGTGTCTCATAGAAAAGGAGTTTTTTGGGCCAGGTCTTGAAGGGAGAAGCAGAATTTCAGACCCAGAAGCAAAGCCACATGGCCCTGAAGCCTCCCTGCTCTACTGCTTCAGATCCATTCCTGGTTCCTGTTAGTGTGATGCCCCTAGTAGGCTCACTTTTCAACTTGTTAGATTTTTCATAGCCACCCTTTCATTCCCACTCTGCTGACTGCTTTATCTTATTCTTTATTGAGAATGTAGCAATTTTTAAACCCAAACACCCTCATCATTGATCACTAGACTGATAGACCTGTCTGGAATTGTACCTCTCTGATCCTGTTTCTTCCCTTCAGCCTCYTTGGCTTAGATCCTGTCCCCTGTCACCTTAAGATTTCTCTCCTTCCACCTCCTTTCCTCTGGTTTATTATTATCATCAGGTATAGCTCTTCTGATAAGTCARTCTTGAAACCAAACCAAACATTCCTTGAAAATTCTAACATATGCTACATCATAAATAAACCTTTTAGACATTAAGTGATAGACTCTAGTTACATGAAGACAAATGCTGTATGATTTCACTTATATGAGGTACTTATGGGTGGTCACAGTCATAGAGATAGAAAGCTGAATGGTATTTGCCCGGAATAGCAGGGAGTGGGAAATTAAGAAGTTATTACTTAATGGATACAGAGTTTCAGTTTTACAAGATGAAAACAGTTATAGAGATGGATATTGGTGACAGTTGCACAACATTATGAACATATTTAATACCACTGAACTGTGTGGCACACGCCTGTAGTTCCAGCTACTCAGGAAGCTAAGGCAGGAGGATCACAATTTTAAGGCTAGCCTGGGAAAGTTGGTAAGAACCTTATGGTTCTCAACATAAAATTTTGAAAAGGGCTGGGAATGTTGCYTTATCCTTAGCATGCACAAAGTTCTGAATTCCATCCCCAGTACTGGGAGAGGAAAAAAAGAAGAAGAAAAAGAAGAAGGTGGTAAATCTTGTGTTATATATATTTTAACACAGTGAAAAAAATAGAAAAGTTTTTTAGAAGTACATCCAGGAAAAAATATACATTTCTTGAAGAGATTAAAGAGATTAGTCAAAAGATTCTATTTTTTCCCACCTCAAAATAAGAAGATAACCTTCCTTCATTCTGTGTTCCCCTCTAAAGACTATTCCATTTCACTGTTCCCCTAAAAGGAATGTCTCAAAAGAGCCACACTGTCCTGTTTCCTTTCATTTCCCCTCAGTCCACTGTCATTGACCACTACCCTCTGCCACTTGTAGCAGCCTTTGTCAAGGTCATGTGTTACCTTGTTACCAAATCCAGTGGGTACTTAACCTTTGGCAGTGTTTGGCATAGTTTACTCCTCCCCCTGAACTCCTCTCCTCTGGGCTCCTGTGATACCATACTTCCCTGGATTTCTGCTTGAGTCTTCACTGGCTGCTGCCTCCTCCCGTTCTGTCCCAGACTCTAAATAATGGGGTTCTGAAGGGCATTGTCCTGGGCTCTCTTTTTCTATAATTCCCTTATGTTCCATTCCCAGGGATTTAAAGGGTTATGCTGTTTGTTTTTTGTCAGTTTTTTTTTTTTTTTTTTTTTGCTGCTATGACTAAAAGGCCCTGACCAGCATAACTGTAGAAAAGGAAAAGTTTATTTAAGGGCTCATGGTTTCAGAGGTCTCAGTCAATAGAAGATTGGCTCCATCATGGTGGAAGAAATGTGGCAGAGGGAAGCTGCTCATGTGGTGATCTGGAAGCAGAAAGAGAGATCTCTACTTGCCAGATACAAATATATACCCCAAAGCCATGCCCCTAATTCCCATCTCCTCCAGCCACATCCTACTATTTCAGTTACCTCTCAGTTAATCCCTATCAGGGGATTAATTCACTGATTAGGTTAAGACTCTCACAACCCAATCATTTCTCCTCTATGTTTTCTTGCACTGTGTCACATGTGAGCTTTTTGGGGGACACCACATCTAAACCATAACATTGATGATTGCTTCATTTTTGTCTCCAGCTAGATCTCTCATCTGAGCCCCAGACTCTCATCCAACTGCCTTCTGATCTCCCATACTGACTGTACCTGTAACCGAAAGTTGAGCTCTTCTATTCTCTATATTCTTTCATATCTCAGGATATGGCCCTGTTGTCCCCAGTTATGCTCAAACTCCTGAATCTTCCTTGCCCTTTCCTTGTCCCTTTCCATCTCCTTCATCCCCAGCTATGGATTCTACTTTGACTATACTTCTCTCTCTCCATTTCTACTCACCACCTATCAAGACTACTCCAGAACTCATAAAAAGTCTCCTTACCTCATTTTTTGTCCCTTCTCCCCAAATCATTCTGTTCTTTTTTGTAAGAATAGTCACAAACTATTTMTTTTCCTTGTTACCATTTCTGTGGTTTTCCAGATTTCTTGCTTTGGCTTGTCTACATAATCCGGTCTCTGCCTAATTCTCCAATTTCATTTCATGTCATTTTCCCTTACTCATTGGGCTCTAGTGAGGTTGGTCTTATTTTACTTTCTGTTAACATACCAAGCTCTTTTCTCCCTCAGGATCTTGGCAGTTTCTTCTTTGAATAGCTAATTCCCTTTCTTTCTCTAATAGAATAGTAGCTTGAAATCACCTGTTCAGAGAGTCATTTCTTGACTGTCCTACATAAAGTAAGTTTCTCTTTTTCTTTGTATCCAGATACGTGCTATAATTCCCAATCTTTTGGGGGAATATGTGGCTTTTTTTTTCTCCAGCAGAAGAATATAAACTCAGTGAAGACAGGGATTGGATGTGACAGCTTCACCCTAAAATCCCCAGTGTACCTGGCAGTGTACCAGAAGGTCACTAAATGTTTATGAAGTGATAGAGCAAGGGAAAGGAAAAATGAACTGGGAGCCTGTATAGGGAGGAGGTGAAAAGGGGAAAGAAAGAAAGAAAGAAAGAAGGGCTGTTGATGAGTAGCTGCTCTGCTCCTCTCCTTCAGACATTTCCTTCCTGCATTCCAGTCTGCTGCGGTGGTATGTGAGAGGAATTACCTGGCAGYCTAAGCTGCCCTCTTCTTCCTTAGACTGCTGGGATTTGTGTCCATACCTAACCTTGAGGCTCTGAATCAACAGTAGTTATGGCTCTTGTTGTTCACCATGGGCCAAGAACTCTGAGAGGTGATCCCCTTTAATCCTGCAGTCTTTAGCACTTTCCACCTCTTCTCTCCCTCCCACTGTGCACTGCAGTGAATTAGCTTGCTCTAAATCATGTCACTTGTGAGTGGAGGAGGCCCTTGGGTTCAGCCTGTGGCTCTGTAAAGGCTGTGTTCCTTGTGCCACATCAAGCCATATTTCTGTAGTTGTTTCCTAAGTATCAAACAATCCAGTAGACAGATGGTTGTTAAACCCTTGTATTGAAGATTTAAAAAAAACCAAAACAACAACAAAACAATCTCAAATCCAACCTGCTTCCTTCCCACTCTCTTATTTCCCTGTTGTAACTATTATCTTTCACTTGGACTGTTGCAAAAGCTACTTGGTTGATCTCCCTGCCCTCCCACATACTCCCTTACAGTCCATTTTTCAGGTGGCATGTACTCCCTCTATATCCCCTTAACCAGCTTTATTTTCTTCATAGTAACTATATTTTTTTATTTATTTGCTTGCCAATTGTCTCTCTCCACTGCTAATATAAGTTTCTTGGGGGAGCTTCTTTGGTCTACAGTATTTTCAAGCATAATGTCTAGCACCTAATGAGTTGCTCAATATTTGGTGAAAAATTGGGAAAAAGGATTGTTTTATGTGCTTTTTGAAAATTTTAGATAAGAGTTGCAATATCTCTAGGAGTTTTTGACAATTACTTTTGTATAAATGTTGAAAACCCTAGTACCCATGAATTGAAATTGATCCTTTCCCCCAATTCTCATAGGACACATCAGATTGAGGCTGCTCCCACCAGTGCTGCAAGTGATGGATTTAAGGCAGATCTTGTCTTTAAGGAGATCGAGAAGAAGCTTGAAGAGGTGAGATCTGTGTAAAACATTGCCAGGGACTCTGAGGCTGCGAAGTGCACACAGGTTTCATATTGTGGCACAAGTTGAGAATTTATGTCATGTTGTCAAGTATTCAGTATGTTTTAGATTTCTGAGAGTTTAATTAAGGCTTCCTTGTAATTCTAGTAAGAATGTTATTTCAGAAATGTACAGATCTCCAGATGGAGTTAAAGAACTAGAATAAATAAGGTTTAAAATTGTCCCTCAGTCCCTTGTAAGAGAGAGATTTAGTTCTGRACAAAGTTCATGTGTATAAGGGGTTCTCATATATTTTGGTGTAATTTCCTTCTGAATTAAAAAGATTTTATGTAGAATAATTCCAAAGAATAATATTTTAAATAATATTTAAATGAGCCTTTAAATGTACATGATGTCAAAATTCTTTTTTAAAAGGAATCATTTGTATTTGATTTCTCTGTTTTTCTGTACTGGGAGTTGAACATAGGGCCTTGCACATGCTGGGCAAGCACTCTACCACTAAGCTACATCTCTGGCCCTTTTTATTTTGAGACATGATCTTGTAGGTTAACCAGGCAGACCTTGAACTTGTGATCCTCCTGCCTCAGACTCCCAAGTAATTGGCATTACAGGCATGTGCCACCACACACAGATGTCTTTTCAAAGTAATTTTTAACTAATTGTTTTCTTATAAGAAATGATACTAATTTTTCAAAAATTTACATTGTACAGAAATACACACAAAATAATTATTTTTAATATTTATTTTTTAGTTTTAGGTAGATGCAATATCTTTATTTTTATGTGGTGCTGAGAATAGAATCCAGTACCTCACGCATGCTAGGCAAGTGTGCTACCACTTGAGCCATATCCTCAGTCCCCAAAATAAAAATTTAAACCTCCCCAAATTCTACTACTCACAGTTCACTGAAGTGTCAACAATGGTGAATATTCATTCAGACATCTCTCTCTACATAAACTTAAAATTTTATATAATGAGGATCATACAATATATGTTGGGTTTTTAAATTATACCATATATGCAGATATTTTTGTACAATAATTCTTGATAATAATCATACAGAAGCAACCTAACAGGAAGATTATTCTCCTTTGATAGAATTAGATATTTATTTCATTGTTTCAAACTTAGAAATATCTGGGATTTCATTATTGATTTCTTGAGACCATGCAAGGTACAGTTACAGCCACTATCACAATTCAAATTACACATCTGATGTGGAGTTCAAAGTGGACTGAAGTAAATAAGAGGATTCAAAACTTTTAAGCTGTGTATTTCAGTCCAGTTAGAGCCACAGGGAAGCAAACACTGTGTGTGTTTCGTAATCTTTACTGCTGGGCACAGCATCTAAGGTGATTACACTGTGGGTGGGAGGCAGCTGTGTCTTGTGAAAGGGCCTAATATTTCCAGGATCTTCTTAATGATCAGCAGCCTTCCTGAGATGGATCAGGGCCAGGCTGATAGCTCCAAGAGAGTGCCACTGATCCAGAAGCTGTAGGAGGTTCACATGGTCATCTTGTGAGGTTGTATCTGCATGGGGCTACCTGTTGTTTTATAGTCTGCTGTTTTCTCTTGCTGTTTCTTGGCCATCAATATAAAAATCTTTACCATCCTTTTCAGTACATAGTATGTGTTGCACATATGTATCATAATTTATTTAACAAGCTTCCTATGATTAATATCAGATTTGTGTTTAAATTTTGAAAGTAAAACACTACTACAATGAATTTCCTTTTGCACTTGTCTTTAGGTACTTATTGCAGGATCAACTTAGTTTAATAATTAAAGGACAGAATTGTTGGATAGTTAGATAAATACATTTCTCATTTTAATAGTTTGTGAAAGTCCCCACCAGAAGGAGAGTATTGGTTGGTGGACTTCCTAACAGTTCAGGAGAGTAACTTCTTTCTTCATACCTTCTCTGATACTGTGTTGGTTGCTTCAAAAAAAAAAAAAAAATCTTTGACAACCTAGTAGGGAAAAAAATMTCATAATTGTGTTTTGAATTTCTTTAACTGTCCACTGTAAAATGAAGATGGACTCTAATGAGGGTTCAGCTTGATTTTTCTTCTTTTTCTTTTTTTTAACTGCAGTCTGTTTGAAAAATCAAATAAAAGGATTAGAGATCATCTAGGATAAGGTCTGAGGTATGACCATAGATCAATCATTGAATACTCCATTATTGAGATTAACAAAGCAGTGCTGTTTTTATTTTGCRGTATGCTTTTAGCTTTGCAAATGTATGCCTCTTGCTCCCATTTTAATTCCTTTCTCTTCCATGAACTCACCCCCACAGACCTTGTCCCCTTGTTTCTTTTCTCCTTCCCACGATTGTCAGTTTCCTCAGTATTTGCAGCACTAAAAAGTGAAAGTCTTGGAATCTTTTGTCAATTCATGCATTTTCTGCATTAGCAAAGGCTGCTTGGTAAGAGATTTTATTTCCACTTTTGTCTTTGTTAGCAATACTCCATTGCCCTTCTTTGAATTTGTCTTAATTTTTTGTCCCTATTGAGTTTACAACAGGACCCTACTCCATGACCTTTTGCCTACTCAGAAAGAAGTACTTTTCTTCCCATAAGGAGGCAGTTAGAACTTTCTTAGTACTAATGATCTCCAGTTTCACAACTGTGTTTTCTTTTTCCCTTTAACTCTGTCCTTCTGTTTCATTTCCTTAAATACTCTCATTCCCACTTCAAATGAAAATGCTTTATTGACCAAGGGATGTGATTTTCTAAGAGTCATTTGGTTCTCAGAAGTAATACCAAGTACAAATTAATCTACAACTATCTTAAGGAGATAAGAGGGTAAGTAGTAGTAAGATTGCAGGAATTTCTCTTCAAGCATGCAGGTGAAATTTCTAAGTGCTTGCTGATGTTTTCCTGCTCTAACTTGTCAGCATCTGCTCATAGATGTATTCCTGAGCCATTGTGCAAGCGGGTGGTATGGATCTACCTACAATAGTCCTTCAGGGGCCACTGGCCCCAGAGGAAGTCTGGCTCTTGGGTGTCTTAGCACATCACACCAATATTATTAACTCCCTCTCCAAGGTCATCTCCAGAGTGAGAGAAGACTCCAGGGAATGTGGGGAAGACTGAACTTTCTTCTAATTCATGTTATGGTAGCAGATACTATTCTACTGTCATAGACTCACGTTTGGACAATTGATGTAACCTACAGTTGTGGTACAGTGTGGTCAGATGGAAAGAGGATCGAATGTGGGATTGTGATTGAATTCAGGTTTTACTACTTATTAACCATGTGTTCCTGCCCTCAGGGAACATTGTTTAGTGGAAAGAGAGACGTGGAAAATTTTTTCCAGAAAAAAATAACTATTTTGGTGCATGTGCAGAAGTCCATCAGAATTCTTCAGAGGAAGCCTTCCCAGAAGAATTAGCATGTGAGCTGAGACTTGAATGATGAGGTCAGGGTAGGAAAGAAGAATAGGAGTTGAGCAACATGGGACAAAGGGCATGAATGGGACAAAGGGCATGAATGAGGTGAGGGCATAGAAGCATAAGAGACCTTGGCACTATATTCAAAATTATCAGTATTGTTAGAGCATAAAATCTGTGAGGGAGAGAAAGTGGCTGGTGATCAGAAAGATGAATATGCCTCAACTCATGAAGATTCCTAAATGATAAAGATAGACTTCACCCTGTTGCCTAGGGGAGACCATGTATGAAATTCAAGCCTTAAAGTGTTGGAAGGTTATGTTAAGAGTTAGGGTTAGGTTATGTTAGATGAATTGCTTGGCAGCAATATAAAAGATAGTCTGAAGGGTGCTTGRCCTTTATTTATTTACTTTTAAAATATTTTTTATTTGTAGATGGACACGATATCTTTATTTATTTATTTTTATGTGGTGCTGAGGATCAAACCCAGTGCCTCACATGTGTGAGGCAAGCACTCTACCACTGAGCTATAGTCCCAGCCCGGTTCTTGTCCTTTATGAGCCTTGGTTGCCTTTTCCACATAATTAGAAAAGTTAATGTTAATACCTACCCAGCTACTTATAGGGCTTTATGAAGGTTAAAGAAATAGTATTTGTACAAATACTTAAAAACTTTGAAACCCCCCTCCCCAGTTATTAAAATTTATTTAAAACATTTTGAGTAAACTCTATTAAGGGAAAACAAAATAAGATAATTTCTTTTTTACTTAAAAACTTGACAGTGGTTTGGTTTTTTGGTTTGACTAGAAAATATTGGTGGTTAATTTCAAAATATTCACGTAAAAGATGCCTCCATAGCTTTTGAGATAAGTAGGCCTAGACTGTTTGTTTTTAGGACAGCTGCTTTGGACCCATGATTGATTTCAAATAGGCTTAGGGTAATTTACCTGTATAAGAAAAATATTGACACACCCAGTAGGGTGACTAAAAAAAAATAACAATGTTGTGAATGTGGAGAAATTGGAACTCCTCATTCATTGCTGGTGGGATTATGAAATAGTATACCTATTTTATTTTATTTTTATTTTTATTTTTTTAGTATACCTATTTTAGAAAAGCAGTTCGGTAGTTCCTAAACAAGTTAGACATTACCTTATTACTCAGCAATTCCACTATATACCTAAGAGAAACTAGAACTTATGTACACACAAAATATTTTGCATAAGTGTTCATCACAGGATTATTCATTTTTAAAAAGTGAAAACAACCATCAATGGATGAATAAACAAAATAAGCTGCATCTATATAGTGGAATATTACCTGGCCATAGAAAGGAGCAAAATACTGATTGATATACACTTCAACATGCACAAACCTTAAAAACATTATGCTAAGTGAAAGAAGCCAGTCACAAAAGACCACACATTGGATGGGTATGGTGGCACTCAGCTGTAATCCCCACTATTCAGTAGGCTGAGGCGGGAGGAACAAAAGTTCAAGGCCAGCCTCAACAACTTAGTGAGACCCTGTCTTAAAATTAAAAAAAAAAAAAAAAAAGGACTGGGGGGCTGGGGTTGTAACTCAGTTGGTAGAGCTTTTGCCTTGCATAAAAAATATTAAAATAAAAAAGGACTGGGGATGTAGCTCAGTGGTAAAGCACCTCTCCAGTACCAAAAAACCCCCCAAACAAACAGACAAACCCATATTGTATGATTCTATGTATATGAAATATCCAGAATAAGCAAATCTGTAAAGACAGAAAGTAGGTTTGTCATTTCCAAGGGCTGGTGGGGAGGAACAGGGAGTGACCATGAAAGGGTTCAGATTTCTTTTGGGATTAATGAGAATGTTCTAAAATTAGTCATATTAGTTGTACTTCTTTTTTTTTTTTTAATTAGCTACACATGACAGTACAGTGATCTTGACAATTCATACATTTGAATCAAATGGGGTATAATTTCTCATTTTTATGATTGTACAGGTTGCAGAATCACATTGGTCATACAGTCACCTATATACATACAGCAATAATAATGTCTATTTTATTCTGCTGCCCTTCCTATCCCCCCTTCCYYTCYCCTCCCCTCCCATCACTTCTCTCTAYCCAATCTAATGTGACACACTTCTTTTTTTTTTCTCCTCACAACATCATACATGTATTCCRTCCCTATAACGATGAAGGTCTCCTTCCATCTTCCTTAGTTGTACTTCTTTGAATATGCTAAAAAATGATAAATTTTATGGGGTGTAAATTGTGTATCAATTGCTATTGTAAAACAAACCACAACAAAAAGAAAGAACAAATTTAGGACATAGCACTGCATACATAGAAACGAAGGTTGGTATCGCCTATGATCTAATGTATGTTCCTCAGAGGAAATAATTATTTGAGTATTTCAGGTGCATCATGTTCCTGAGCATAGTAAACTCTTAAATCTTTGTTTAAAGAATGACTATTATGATACAAAAGAAAGAATCTAGGGTATAAATTATTGCAGGAMTGTAAATCTTAAGTAAAAAAAGATAGGAAATAAAAGCTATTAGAGATAAGAGAACTTAAAAGGTAACCAGTTCCAAACTAAATGTAAATGTTTATTGGATTTCCTTTATATTTCTAGTAACGCAGCCATAAAATATATTACTAATAAGAGCACTATAAATACCTAAGAATAAACTTAACAAGAAATGTTCAAAAGCCTGTGTGGGAGCTGGGAATGTAGCTCAGTAGAACACTTGCTTAGCGTGTGCTAGGACCTGAGTTCGAGCCCCAGCACTGGTGGGTGGGGACTGGGGGGGTATGGAACCTACAAGGGGAAAATGTTTCTSTAAGGGACATTAAAGATATACCATGAAGGGGCTGGGGTTGTACGATCTTCAGCACCACATTAATAAATAAATAAACAAACAAACAAACAAAAATAAAGATATTGTATCCATCTACAACTTAAAAAAAAAAGATATACCATAAAGATACACCAAGTTCATGGGTGGAGACGCTTAATATTYTAAAGATTACTTCTGTCCCAAACAGATCCATATGTTCTATGCAATGGCATCTAAATTCAACTGCATTTGTGGGGAAGAATTAACTAAATGATTATAAGTACATATGGAGGAAAAAATGTTCCCCCAAATCTAAGAACAGCCAAGAATATTTGGAAGAAGATGATTTTCTATGCCTAAGAGTAAAATGCATTTTATATCTATAATATTAGCACAGGATTAGCAAACATCATAAAATAAAATAACAACAGAAAATGCTAACATCCATTGAGCAATTGTTCTGTGCTTTGTGGGTATTTATATAATTTAATTCTCATGCAATTCTATGTAGGTAGTTATTGTTTTATTTCCATTTAACAGATTAAAAAAACACTGAGATATAGAGAGGTTTGGTTTAATAACTTGTCCAGAGAGATAGAAATATATGAAAAAGGAGGTGATTGCCAGAATCAGAGTTAGCAGAGTTTAATTCTAGGAATTTACCCATATATAAAAGTGAGTTATATAAAATTGTTGAAATATAAGAACATTATTCATAGCATTATAATAAGAGCCAGAGTTAGAATTAGCAAATTCTAACAAGAAAAAAATGTACTGGTTAAATGAAGTGCCCTTTTACAGTTTTATATGTGGTCATTTAAAATTGTATGGAAGCTCGCCWGGTGGTGTATACCTGTAGTCCCAGCAGCTCAAAAGGCTGAGACAGGAGGATTACTTGAGTCTAGGAGTTCAGGGACAGCTTATGCAACATAGCGGAACCCCTTTCAAAAAATTAAATAAATTAAAATTGTATGACAGGATATTAAGTGATACACATAATGAGAGTAATTAAACAAAAGATTACAAGACAGCATGATCCCATTTTTAAAATGCATATGCTGAGAAAAGAGATGGAATTTATTCCAACTATGATTTTCTTTGATAAAATTCTGAATGATTTGTATTTTCTTCTTTTTGCTTATCAATATTTTCTAATTCTAACACAATGAAATGTGTTTCTTCTCTAAGGAAAAATATTTTCAATAAGATTATTGTGCTGCTTTTGTTTTTCAAAAGCTAGAGTACGAGGTTGTGGTCATCCTTTCATTGCACATCCTGCCAGCTGCTCCTGCAGTCCCTGTGCTTCCCTTATCCCCATGTGTTGTCATGTGGTCATGAAGGATTGCCAGCATTCACTTTTCTGTCTCCTGCTTTTATATCCTTGGTGCCTGGAACAATGTCTGACTTAATAAATGATTCAGGAAGGAAAGTTGAAACAGAGTGGGAATGAAGGAGAGAAGAAGGGAAGGAGAAAGGACACCCATCTGAAGAGGTGTGGGTCTGAGGATATGTTTTTATATTTAGGCCAGCTTTGTTCCCCAAGATCCAAAAATAAGTGGTGAATGTGAGCATTATACTACTTAAATAATTCTTTAGACTAATACAAAAATTAAATTACTCCCCCCAAAAGTCTTTGGTCTCACTTTAAGTCTGGTTGTAGGAAACCAAAATTAGACATAAAAAACATTAATCTGCAGAAAGGCAGTGAGGATGCCTGCATTTTAAGAGACCAGAATGAATCGTGCCCAAATGATTGAGAAAAATGAAGGCTGTTTCAGCAGAAAATGCTGGCACATTTTCTTTCTTTCTTTCCCTTCCTGCAGTTGTGCCTGAGAGCCATTTTTAACAGAGGACTTGGCAGATTTGGGAATTGTTGCCTGGTTGCCTTTCTGACTTCTGGGTGAAAGATCCTAAAGGAGCTTGGGGACTGCCCAGTGGCCCAGCTGCTCATATCTTGTACCTGTTTAAACATTCATTTGCTTGGGGAGAAAGCCAGAGAAAGGGACCTAATATAACTCTGAGTGTTATTTTTATTTCCAGGATGGGGAACAGTTTGTGAAGAAAATTGGTGGTATTTTTGCCTTCAAGGTGAAGGATGGTCCTGGGGGTAAAGAAGCCACCTGGGTGGTGGATGTGAAGAATGGCAAAGGATCAGTGCTTCCCAACTCAGGTCAGTGCAGCAGTAACTGGTTTATGGAACAATGACTGGTTTACAAAGACTATCAGCTGGGGAACTGGAGTCTACTTGGTTATTCCCCAAAAGTGGAGTTACAGGACCTTGTTAAAGAACCATTGAATCTTGGGTACAGGAGTAGATCAAAGCTGCCTCTTCCCAAGATTGGGAGACTCAACCACAGAGCTGACAGTCGTAGGCTTTGGAATTAAATAATCTTAGGTTGGGGGGCTGGGGATGTGGCTCAAGAGGTAGTGCGCTCGCCTGGCATGCTTGCGGCCCGGGTTCGATCCTTAGCACCACATACAAATAAAGATGTTGTGTCCTCCAAAAACTTAAAAAAAAAAAAAATATATATATATAAATCAATCTCTCTCTCTCTCTCTTTAAAAAAAATAAAAAATAAAAAATAATCTTAGGTTGGGGTCCTGGCCCTGACTCTCTCAGATTCTGACCTTGTACCAGTTATTTACTTCTCTTTTAACAGTTATTTTCTTATTTGTAGATGGGCCTGATAAATGGTTCCTATTTCATAGTGTTAATGGAAGGGTTAGGAATATTCTTTGAATTAGCCTAAAGAACACGGTCCAGTGCATGGCTATATGTATGGCCTTGGAAGACTGGCTTTGCTACTATTTCCTCTTCTTCTCATCCAAATCTTTCTTGAATTCATTCCAGTCACCTTTTGTCCTGATCAGTATCATAAATCTGTTTTTGCCAAAGTCATCAATAGCCAGTATCTTGCTGAATTCAGTGGTTAATTTCTCACCCTCATGATATTATAATTCCAGCTTTTCCTCTTCCAGGCTGGTCCTTCCTGGCCTCTCTTGCTGATTTCTCCTTGTCTCTCAAGTTCATGAGTGTTACAAGGCTCAGCTCTATTTCATTCACTCCCTGGGGATCTCATCTAGTTTCATGCTTTTAAAACAATCTACAGTGATGATTCCCAGATGTATGTGTTTAGCAAGTATCCAGCCACTGAACTCCAAAGGGTTTATCCAGCTGCTTAAATGACAAGTTTTCTAGGACACCTGTCTTAGGGCGTTTTCTGTGACTATAACAGAATATCACAGACTGGGTAAATTATGAACATTAGAAATGTATTTGGCTGGGGCTGAGGCTGTGACTCAGTGGTAGAGCGCTTGCCTAGCATGTGTGAGGCACTGCGCTCAATTCTCAGCACCAAGTATAAGTAAAATGAATAAAATAAAGGTCTACACATCTAAAAAAATATTTAAAAAAAGAAATGTATTTGGCTTATGGTTCTGGAGACTGGGAAGTCCAATAATGAGCAGATGTATCTGGTGAGAACTTTTCTTACTGCATTATAATATAGTGAAAGGGCAAGTGAGTGTGCATCAGACAGAACGAGAGGAGGGAAGAAGAAGGGTGGGGCAGAACTTACCCTTTTTTCAGGAGCCCAGTCCTGCAACAATGGCATTACTCTATTCATGAGAGCAGAGCCCTCTTGGCCTATTCACCTCTTCAAGGCTTCACCTCTTAATGCTGTTATAATGGYCATGCAATTTTTAGAGGAAACATTCAAAGTATAGCAATACCTAGCAGACATGTCAAAGCTAACAAGTGTCAAACTGAACTCCTGATCCTTCTCCTGCAGTGTGTACTCCTCCCACTATACTCATGTGTTCTACTATTTCCTTAGTCCAAAAGCCTTGAAGTCATCCTTGACCCCCACTTTCTCTCAGACTACACAGTCTAACCCAGCAGCAAATCCTATCCTCTACTCCTACCACCTGGTCTGAGCTGTCCTCTTATTTTTGCTGAGTCTGCTAGCTTCCCTTCRTTTATACAACTAGCCAGAGTGATCATTTAAAAACTCAAGTCCAGTTTTTGCCCTCCTCTTCTCAAAACCATCTGATGACCTTCAACTCATTCCAAGTAAAAGCAGAAATCCTACAATGGCACCTCATGATCTGTCCCCAGTTGTTTTTTTTTTTTTTTTTGGTCTTGGCACATTCTCCCTCACTTTGCACCAGTAACACTGGCCTATTTGCTATTTCATGAATGTGAGGTATTCTCGATGGTGTAGGGGATTTTCTGCTCTCTGTTCCCTCTAGAATTGTCTTCCTCAGATATCCTCCTGGCTCTCYCAGTTCCTTCAGATCTTTGTCCCAGGGGCCCTTCCCTAACCACCCTTTTAAAAATCATACCCCATCGTCATTCCCAATTGTGTGTGTCTGTGTGTTTTTAATCATTTTGGATTTTTTTTTTTTAGTTGTAGTTGGACACAATACCTTTATTTTATTTATTTGTTTTTATGTGGTGCTGAGGATTGAACTCAGAGCCTTACCCTTGCTAGGCGAGTGCTCTACCACTGAGCCACGACCCCAGCCTCCTATTGTGGTTTTCTACCTTATTTTTCTCCATAGTATTTGTTTCTCTGTGATATACTATATAATAATTTTTTATTTATCTACTTATTGTTCATCTCCCCATGTGAATTGTAATCTCTGAAGGCAGAGCTTTTTGCCTGTTAGATTCACTGCTGCCTTTCTAGCTCCAGAACAGTACCTGACACATGGTAGTCCTTCAAAAATCAGGATGTTCAAACAACTGAATGAATGGCACTCAGCAAACCTTCACTCAGTGGTAGCTGTATCACACTGTTAAATTTCTCTTGTCTGACAGGGTTTAGTGTAATTTAGATGTATGATAGATTGGGACCAGCTTTTTGAAAGGTTTAAAGGGTCATGATAGGAACTTTGAAAGTTATTTGATACATAGTGAATCCTTTGTTTTTTAAATAGAAAATAGTAAAAGTCAGAGCTGTATTTTAGAGGATGAAGCTGGTGCTTTGGACCTGATGAACTGGAAAGGGAGTGATCAGAGGCAGAGAGAGCAGTTAGGATGGATGTCACCATTGAGTGAGCAGCATAATGTGGCAGTGAGCAGAGGAGTGTTGTTCAAGATCAATGCTGGGGTTTTTGAGGTGAAATTGGTGGGACCTGGAATCTGTGTAGAAGAGGTCTATCACAAATGATAGTGCTTCATTTTTGATACAGTACTGAGGAAGGTCCTAGAGGAGATGATGACATCAGGAGCACAGGCACAATGAAAGGAGGGTTAGCCTAGCAGGGTGGGATGAATACTTCTTTCTCTGAAGGGGCACTTCAAGGGGAGAGCAGGTTGACAGAGCTCCTGGAATAGAGTGTAGAGCTTGGAAGAAGGAGAAAAAGTTAAGAGCATTTTATGTGCACTGTTGATAAGGAATCAGTGAGAGGATAAAGAAGGAGAAGCTAAACAGTGGTAAGGGCCTGCATCTGGTATGGGCAGTGTGACTTTTGTTGTGAAGATTCCTGACTTACACATATCTTTTTTTGTTTTCCCCCCCAAAACAAGTAGGCACAAAAAGATTTTATATCTGCATTCTACAAGCTGCCCTCTAAGGTACAGGAAGTAAAGCTAAAGCTTAATCTGGATTCTAGCTTTTAGAAATAGAAAGAGCTTTGGGAAAAATAATAATGCCATTTTTTAAAAAATAACTAAAGTTAGTAGTTTGTAAGATTATATTCTGATATTTTCCAATAAATGTTAAGGTGATTTTGAAATGTCTCCTGTTTCTCCTGTTTCAATGTTTTTGGTTAGTCATTTGTCATGAAAGGTAATTTGCTTGTTGAATGGTTTCAGAAAAGCCTTATTCCCTGCAGAGTGACTTTTCTCATGTGCTCAGGTGCTGAAGAGATCTTAGCCTGGGGCGGGGTAATTTCTGCTGAAACTGACACCTGTTGGCAGTCAGCAGTGGTGTTGAAAAATGGACTTAGCCAGTAAAAGCCACCACTGGAAATTGCCAGCTCTTTTTACATCCACTAACAAATGACCATTTGTTAGATATTAGCTATGTTAAAGCATCAGTAACTTGTCCTAGTTTGAACTGGCATCTTAAGGAGAATTGCTAATTCTTGTGACGTGTATATAGGGCTAGGYTCTTGTTAAAGAAGTAAAATTCATTTAAATATATTTAATTTGCTTGTATTTTAAGAGCTTGGTAATGATTATATTAAAGACTTGTAGATTTTGTGCACTTTCCATATCTTTTCTTGCTTCTGGGTACCTTTTGGTATCTTTTTCATGAGTTCYGCCTTTCCCATCTCTCCATTGAAATGATTCACATAGCATATCTCCAAGAAGCCAGCTTTGGTTTATCTAACATTACATGATTTATCTAGTATTCCTTCATTTATTCTTCCCTCCTAGCACTTGAGTTCTCAACCTTATCCCTTTAAGAGTAACATGACAGAGAAAGCTTCAGAGTCTTCTACCTCCAAGGTACATTAGAAGGAACATAGCCTTTGGAGGTACCTAGACCTTGGTTTAGTTTGGGTCTTGGCTCTGTCCCTTACAAGGTATATATCTTCCCTGAGTCTAAGTGTATCATTTAGAAAATGGGTGAAAATAACCTGTAAAGCTGTTTTGAGGATTAAATAAGGTAGGGAAAGCACCTAGTTTTATAAGTGCATACTAAATCCATGCTTCCACCCCAATCCATGTATTAAATACTGATTAGTTTACATGCATAGACTTGTMAGCTAATCCCCCCAAAAGGACTGGGAGAACTGAGAAAACATCTGGGATTCATTAGATGCTAATGAATTGGTGAAGGCCCAGTCAAAACTAAGTTGAGGGATTATGTTAGTCAACTTTTTGTCACTGTGACCAAAATATCTGGCAGGAACAACTTAGAGAAGAGTTGATATATTTTGGCTTATGGTTTCAGAGGATTTGATCCATGGCCAGCTGGCTCGATTTCTTTGGGCCTGAGATGAAGTGGCACATCATGGTGGAAGGCATGGCAGAGGAAAGCTGCTCACCTCATGGCAACCAGGAAACGAGAGGGGGGAGGGGAGAAGGCACACTACTAGTGACCTAACTTCTCCAACTAGGTCCCACTTCCTAGTAGTCCATCCAACTATGGATGAATCCACTGATGATGTCAGAGTGCACATGACTATCATTGCCCAAAAGCCCCACCTTTGAGCCTTGCTGCATTGGGGATTATGTTTTCACCATATGAGCTTTTGGGTGCATTCTAGATCCAAACTATAACAGGAATGTTTGCATCCTTCCTATAACCAAAGAAAGCCATATAACACAGGAGTTGGGAGTATGGGCTTTGACAACATGAATCTGCTATGTGATCTTGGGCAAGTTTTTTGACCTCTCTAACTCTCATAGGATTGTTATAAAGATTAGATGAGTCCAGGTATGTGAACTGCTGAGCATTGTGAGGGTACTGTAGATGTCAGTATTACAGCAGCCACAGATTTCACCCCTACCCCAAGTCACCTTTCAGTRACTAGGAGTCCTTTCTTGGAATATTAGAACCAGGCCCAACTATCTCACTTTGTTAGCTTTTTACTTCCCTCTCTTTAATATATATATCTACAATAGAACATTTTCTAGACTGTAAATTCCTTCACTTTGAAGGCTTTAAACCTTATTTTCCCCATAATAAGAGAAAATTTCATTAGTAGCTAAGATAGAATGACATTGAATTAGAGACTCTTCCTGAGTTGTAAGACATATAATAAAAACATTTTTTTTCTCTCTTGCTAGTTATTTAATAATATGGGCATGCCATGCTTTAACAGTTTACCTCTGTCTCAATTAAGGCACAGGTTGACTGAGCCATTTACTGATTGCTCTTTATGTGCAAAGCATTCTTTAGTAGCCTGGGAACACAGCAGTGAACAAAACTGATAAGGCTCTGCCCCCTTGAAGTTTTCATTCTCTTGGACAAATACAGGCAGAAAAATATGTAAATATGTAAGGTGGTTTCAGATAAGTGCAGTGAATAAAAAGTAGACTAATAGAAAGTGCCTTGGTTTTGGAAAGTGTTCAACTTGAATTTGAGCTAATCCTCTTTTTTTTTATTAATTTTTTAATCCTTAATGAGAAGTGGAGCCAGCTGCTGAAGCACTATTGTTATATTGGTAGATTGCCTAAAATATSGACTGCTAAAAAAACTGGTCTCTTAGTGAAATTTTTTCCCTTTGCATTTGACACATCCCATTTGCCCAAGGTAAACATGGCTGATTTAGCAAGGAGATATTAGTCCTTGTTGTTCAGTCTTTTTACTTTGATGATACTAAAATTAACATTTTAAATGTTGTATTGTTTAGGCAATGTACACCTGGCATGAAAAATTTAGAAAAAATAGAGAAGAGTACACCAGAATTCTACCACATAGCCCAGGAATTGGTGAATTATGCATGTAGACCAAATATAGCCTACCACCTGTTTTTTTTTTTTTTGCTTTGTTTTGGTAATATTTTTATTAAATTCTATCCTATGGTAAAAGGCATAAATCTAAGTGTACACCTGATGAATGTTTGCAGATGCACACACCTCCCAGGTCAGGATGGAGAATGTTGCCAGCATTCCATAAGCCTCCCCCAGGCCCAACCCATCACCATCCACATTCTGTTCTGAATCCTTCACCACAGATTGATTTTATTTATTTTGGAAATTCATATAAATGGAACCATACAATATTTACTCATTTTTAAGTCTGGCTTCTTTCACCTGGCAGCCTAAAATTTCAGTATTATGGTTGCATGTAGCAATAGCTTGTTTTTACTATGTGAATGCCCTGGAATTTGTTTATTGACTGATTGTTCCCATCTTGGAGGCGTATTCATAAAACTGTTCTGAACGTTCTTTTGTCTTTTAATGGATCTGTTCTCATTTCCACTGGACATATACACAGAGGTGAAAATGCTAGGTTATAAGGTACAGTGTGGTTAAACGGGTTTTTAAAGTAGATGCACTATTTTATATTCCCTTCCACTTAATATGAGTTTCAGTTCCATGTTTTTGACAGTACTTGATACTGACAGGTTTTTTTCTTAAGTAATATTGATTGAGGTATAATTTTTATAGAATAAAATCTACCCTATTTAGTTGAACAATTCTATAAATTTAGACAAATGCATAGATGTATAACCACTACCAAAATTCAAGATATAGAATATTTCCACCACCACCCCCAGAAAGTGTCCTCATGTCCCTTTGTGTTCATCCCCCTCCTCCTGCCCTCAGGACCTGGCCAGCACTGATTTGATTTCTGTCCCTGTAGTTTTGCGTTTTGTACAGTGTCATATAGATTGTATCATAAAAGTGTAGCTTTTGGAGCCTGCTTCTCTCATTGAGATTCATGCATTGTTGCTTGTATATTGTCAAGTAGTTTCTTTTTTGTTGCTGAGTACTTTATCCCCTCACCGGTTGAAGCACATTTGGGCTCTTTCCAGCTTTGGGCAATTACAAATAAAACCACAATAAACGTTCACATACTGGATTTTGTGTGGACGTAAGTTTTCTTTTCCTTTTGGAAAATATGTAAGTGTAGGATAGCTAGTTCACATGGTATGTGTATATGTAGTTTGTATGAAGCTTCCAGTCTGTTTTCMAGAGTACCTGCAACTCTGCTATTGGGTTGACTTTTCAGTTGCTCTTCATTCTTACTAGTGCTGATTTAATATTTTATATATACATATATATATAATCACTACCCAACTATATATATATATTTTTTTAAATTTCAGCCATTCATTCTAGTAGATATGTGGCATCTATCTCATCTTAGTTGTAATATGCATTTTCCAATGACTATTGAAGTTAAGCACTTTTTAATGTGGGTTTCGGCCACTTAGAGAGCCTTTTTTTACACTATGCTTATTATCATTAGCCCATTTTTGTATTGATTATCTGAGCTTTTCTGAGTGGAAGGAGTTCTCTCTGTGTTCTGGACACAACAAATTCTTTGTCAGATATATTTGAATTGCAAATTTCCTCCTCTATTTGCCACCTGCTTTGAAAATAGTTTTTTTGTTTATTTATTTATTTTTATGTGATGCTGAGGATCGAACCCAGGGTCACACACATGCGAGGCAAGTGTTCTACTGCTGAGCCACAACCCCAGCCCCGAAAATAGTTTTTTTTTTTAATATTTATTTTTTAGTTGTAGTTGTCAATACCTTTATTTTTAATTTATTTTTATGTGGTGCTGAGGATCGAACCCAGGGCTGCACATGCACTAGGCAAGTGCTCTACCGCTGAGCCACAACCCCAGCCCCTGAAAATAGTTTTATTAGAACCCAGCCACACATTTGTTTGTGGATTATTTGTAGCTGTTTTTCACTACACAGGTAGAGTTGAGTAGCTGTAATCCATACTTGGAGACCCACAAAGCCTAAAATATGAAGTGTCTGATTCTTTTTTTTTTTTTAAGTTGGACACAATACCTTTATTTTATTTATTTATTTTTATGTGGTGCTGAGGATCGAATACAGTGCCTCATACGTGCTAGGCAAGTGCTCTACCACTGAGCCACAACCCCAGCCTCCCCACCCCCACCCCCCACCCCGTGTCTGATTCTTTATAAAGCAAATTTGTTAACTTTGGATCTAGGTAACTGTATCCATTTTCTTTTATTACATAATAAATTATCACAAAATTAGAAGCTTAAATAATACACACATTTATTGTAAATGTCCATGGTTAAGGAGGCTGAGGACACCCTCACTGGGTCCTCTGCATAGGGTCACACAGGCTGCAATCAAGGTGTTGGTCAGGGCTGGGCCCTCATCTGGAGGCCTAGCTGTGGATGGGTTGGCATCCATTTGCTGGCAGGATGCATTTTCTATGGATGTGAGAATGACAGCTATAGTATTTTACTGGCTCCAGGTCAGAGTCCCTCCAGCTCCTGAGGAAGCATGGCCCTCTCTGTGAGAAGGTCACTCATGGCAGCTAGTTTATCCAAAGCCAGTGGAAGAGTCACTAGTGAGTCTGCTAGTAAGATGGAGGCTTATATAACATAAGAAAAATTTCAGGACTGCCATTCCCTGACTGTCACCACACTCTTTTGGCTAGAAGCAAGTCACAGGTCCTACTCAAATTGGAGGGAAGGGGATTACACAGTGGCATGTATGTATGACAAGAGGCAGAGGTCATAGGGGTCACCTTAGATCTGTCCACAATAACTATTAGTAATTTATTGCTGTCTAAGTGGAAATATTGCTGTCTAAGGGGACAGATGTTTGTCCTGTTCTTATGTATTTGGATACTGTTTTAAGCAGAAATGAGATCATACAGCCTTTTTTGTAACTGGCTTATATAGCAAAGTCATGTGTAATATAACATGAAAATTTCTTCAGGTCAGTAAGTCTGGATTCACATCATCCCTTATAATGACTACATTGTATCTCATTGTATGACTATACCATAATTTACTGAATTAATTAATTCAGTTAGATATGGAAGTTGTAGTCTGTGCACGTCTTACTAGGCTATTATAGAAGTGTAGATGAATGCCCATTTCCCCATGCTGCTTCAGACTGGGTATGGTTCTATTGCAGTCAGTGGCTCTTGACTAAAATGTGTATGGAAACTGAACACTCTCCCTTTTCTCTTCCTTCTCCTTCATGTCTCTGTTTTAGATAAAAAGGCTGACTGCACAATCACCATGGCTGACTCGGACTTACTGGCTTTAATGACTGGTAAAATGAATCCTCAGTCGGTGAGTTTGATGTATATCCTGTTACTAGGTGGATCTTTTAGCCCTTCCCATTCAACTTCCTTCTTGAAGTGCAAAGTGGTCAGACACACAAAACTCAGTGTTCTCCCAAATGTTCACCTAAAAATGGCAGGCACCTGTGGAATGAGCTATGTGCCAGATACCCTGTCCTATGTAATGGAAGAGTAGGAAATAGGTCCATGCTTAGGGTAAGCACAGTTTGGAACAAGACAGATCTTAAAAGATCAAATGTGGCCAAAGATCCAAGGTGCCATACTTGGCTTGAAGTCACTGGGGAGGGTGGAAGAAGGAGCAGCCACGTGTTCTAGCCATCAGRGTTTGCCTCACAGAGAAAACAATAYGGAGTGGGCCCCCAGGATAACCAGAAGATAGTAGTGCACAGTGGAGAGGAATTCACGCTCCCAGTGGAGGGAGGATGTGCTGGGAACAGACATCTTTGCCCATGTTCTTTTTTTTCTTTGAACTGTCCTTCCCTGATGTCCTTCCCTTGTCTTTTGAAATTAGCTCAGATGTTATCTCCAAGGATTTACTTCCAGGTTGTTGGGGGGATATAGCAGTTCCTCTTCGAACCACTTACTGGGCTGTTAGCTTAGCACTTACCATAGTGCCTTAATGTGCCTGTCCCCATTAGATTGTGAGTTTCAGAGGACAAACCACATCTTATTGATCTTTGTGTTTCTAGAACTTAGCACAATGCCTGATGCTTTTAGGGTTTATAAACTATTGCTGGATTAAATTTTAYTTGTCTAAAATGTATTTATAACTTATTCGGATCATCCTGGTCCCAAAATGATCTATTGTCTCCTTATACTCAGGTGGCACAGCATTCAATAGACAGGACAAGCTGAACTTTCTGTCAACTTGATACATTGAAAAATAACAACAAAAAACTAAGACCTTTCTTTTAATTGCCTGAGCCTTATTCATTTCAGGTCCTGTTCCTGTTGTTCCCTGGTAATTCATAAGATTAGCCCAAACAATCAACTCTGACTCCCACTTATATTCCTTTTTAAAACGCTTTTTAGAAAGAGATGTGCCTGTGTGCCATTTTAGCTGAATCTACACCATGGCATTGACATTTCTACCACAGAGCCTGCTCCAGAAACCTGGACGAAACAGAGGCCACCAGTATAGGAGCTGGCTGTCATCCTCCTTCCCAGCTGCTATTCCCAGTCCCATGGCACATACTGTCCACAGCCTTGGCAGGGTTCTCAAACTTCACACATCTGCTGTCCTCATTTCCTCAGTTTATCTATATTCTGCCTATTTGGGGGGGGGAAAGGTGTTAGCTTATTTTCATTCAGCACCTGTTAGCACCCAGTGGAATTAAATATTAAAATGGCAGACATTTCTGTTAATGTGCTAATGGCCTTCCCTTATGCTCAGTAGAGGATTTGACTGGAAATCATTAAATGCAATGGAAATTCTACTTTCAGTGTTTGGCTACAGTTGAAACAAAGCAGTGTGCACTCCAGTCTAAAAGCACACATGAAGAACACCTAGGGGCCAGATTAAAATGATCCTTATGTTTGGGTTCTCTAAAGAGAGAGATTCATGTTTTCTCTATTAGTTTAAAAAAATTATTTTTTAACTTAAAAAAGGAGAAGATGATGAGTTTCTCTTGGGCTGCTACTGGTCCATATTTCTAAATGACATATGTTAAATATATTGTGTCTGAGAGAACTGACCTTTAAATCATCAGACAGAAGGCTTTGTGCCATATAAAGAGGGAAATATTTAGTTTGTCCAGACAGAGGAGAAAAAAAAAAAGGAATTAGTCACCCTTACCGGGAGGTATAGAAAAAAAAAACAGCAAAGATCCTTACTTTTCAGTGTACTTGTGTAAAAGCTAAGATTATCAGAAACTTTTCTCATCTAGCTCTTCCTTACTTCAGGAATTGAGTTAAAAAACTGAGATCATGTCAAGGAAATCATGCTTCAGTCCCAATTTTGCTATTTCTCTAGAGTTTCCCCAGGATTTTGTTACATGGTAACATTGTGAACATTGTGTGATCTAATCCCAGGCCTTGTTAAATGGAACAGCTCAYAGCCCCGCCCTTCAGAGTGGTCTAATCCCTCTCACTGAGCCAGAGAGTAACTTGAGCACCTACAGCAGAAAGCCTGTCCTCTTGAGGATGGAGAATCCATCCTTTATCAGGGATAGCAAAGAGCAGAGCAGTTGGTGGCATTTCATCTGCATGGTATTGAATCCCAAGAGTTTTCCAAATGTGTTTTGAGTGCTTCTTCTCCCAGAAGTTTACTGAGAATTTCAGTTTGTATTTCCAACCTATATGTAATGTTTTTAAATGAAATCCATCTAGTATGAATTTTCTTTGCCTAATATTGAGGAAAAAGTACCACCTTTGAGTAAAGCAGGTAAAGACAGATTCCGTTTCTAAAAGATGTTCCTTCCAGTGCTATAGGTAAAGCATGTCCTTTATATATTCTTCTTCCTGAGGAGAATTCTGGTTCTATGTCTATTCCAGAAAACCAAGTGTTGTATTTTGAATAAAGTTATGTGATGTAGATAGCAGATCTCAGGGATGGATAGTCTAGAAACATTAGCAATCTCAAAACAAAAACCACCAAGTAATAAGTATTTTTTTGTCTTACAGGCCTTCTTTCAAGGCAAATTGAAAATCACTGGCAACATGGGCCTGGCAATGAAGTTACAAAATCTTCAGCTTCAACCAGGCAAAGCTAAGCTGTGAAGAATTCCCTTTGGCAACTTTGGAAAATCGAGATGAGATATATAGATATATATCCACATATTTCATTGTCAGAACTTAGACTGAAACTACACATTGGCAAATAGCATGAGACAGATTTGTTAAATGGGTGTGT